GGTCTAGGGTCTAGGGTCTATGGTTTAGGGCATCTAGGTTCCAGAGGTGTATAAGCAGGGTCTATAAGGGTGTTTCTCCGCGTGTCAAAGGGCTGATCGGTTTCGGGTTTGGGTCTATTGGGTTTAGGGTTCAGGGCTACAGGGTTTAGGGTTTAAGATTTCGTGGCATGCTGCTGACAGAGGTCGATGCTACCTGTCGGTTGGAGTTGTTGGATGTGGATGTGTTGACTGATGTACATTGGTCTGTCAACCGTGTAATTGCAAGGGTCTACGCCCTAAGCCCTAAAGAAAAAGTTCGAAGCCCTAAGCCCTAAAGCCTAAGTTCTAAGCCCTACGCCCTAAAGCCTAAGTTCGGAGCCCTATAAGCCCTAAGTCCTAAGATCTAAGCCCTAAGCCTAAAACCTAAGTTCTAAGCCCTACGCCCTAAAGCCTACGTTCGGAGCCCTATAAGCCCTAAATCCTAAGTTCTAAGCCCTAGAGCCCTAAATCCTAAACTGAAAGTCACAAGTTTTAATCCCCGATTCACAAGATCGCAGGCCCAGACTTTGAAAGCAACTTTTCCTCGCCTGATAGGAATCGGTTTAGGGTTTTAGGGTTTAGTGTACTAAGGTTTAGGGTTTTTGGGTTTCGGGTTTAGGGTTTTGGGGTTTGGGTTTCGGTTTCGGGTTTAGGGTTTAGTCTACCCGCAAACCCCACAGCATTTCCATCCATTAATCCATCAAGGCCATTATATCAACACCGCTTGAAATCCCAAGAGGAGCGGAGCGGGGCTTGCCCCTTCGGCTATGGCGATGCGAGTGCCTCAAAGCACACCAAGTCCACATGCAAAGTCCGAAAGGAGAGATTGGGTGGTCCGTTCTTTATACATAGGGGTTTCGGGTTTAGGGTTTAGGGTTTAGGGTTTTTTCTTGTTACAGCATGTATGTGCTTCCGATGTTTGGGTCTTGAGTGTGTAGGGCTTCAGCGCTCGAGGACAATGCCGACGGCGTAGGCATGGCTGGTGGTTGCCCCTGGACGAAAAACTGGCTTACCTTCGACAACTCCTACTTCAGCCGCTACAAGGATGCCAGGGTTCGACGATATGGGGTTTCGAGGATGTGGGGCTACGTAGTGCTCGCTTCTTGTATGGTTTCCTTCTTTAAACTTCCATTTCTGAACTCTTCAACCCTCCATCCTAGAAAGTGTCCCGGCGTGGGGAACCGGAAATCGTAAGCCCCCTTGCATTGCGCCTTGAAGCCCTTTTTTGGCACATGCCCAAAACCACAAATCTGGAGTGTATGGAGCTCAGAGCCCCTAAACCCTAAACCCTAAACCCTAAACCCTAAACCCTAAACCCTAAACCCTAAACCCTAAACCCTATCAGAACCCTAAACCCTAAACCCTAAACCCTAAACCCTAAACCCTATCAGAACCCCAGGACGCGATGGCAGACGACAACCTCCTCTGGTTTCCTACGGATGAGGCGCTTCATACCGATCCAGGCACCCGGGCCGGGCATTAAAAACAGAAGCCTGAATATTAGTTTAGGGATTAGGGTCTAGGGTTTAGGGTGCAAGACCATTCCTGATGGTTCCTCGTTAGAGCTTTACTATGAAATACCCCCCCCAAAACACCCTGTTCTAATTACTAGTATTCCTCTCCATTCAACCCTACAGCTTTTCAGAAAAGCAACAAGCCCTTAAACTATCCCCGAACCCTTAACCCCCCAAGACTCTTAGCCCGAATCTGCGCAACCCAAACATTTAACGCCAGAGCTCCAAACCTCAAGGACTGAAGCATTAATTCTGAAATCCACAAACGTGACACCCTACCCCTAAGCCCCAATATCCGTGTGGCCTAGGCTTTAAACCCACAAATCCTGAATCCTTTTTCCTTTTTCTAGGTTCCAGCATTTACATAAGGGCTCCCTGCATTAAACACCGAAACCCAAAACCCCAACCCCCAAACCAGACCCTAAACCCTAAACCCCGAAGCCCCAAGCCTTGTAGTAGAAGCCAGAAAGTCGGAACATCATTCTCCTCGTGGCCTTAAGGTAAGGTATAAGGGATGCCAGCATTCATGATCCTAGATACATGTTCCAACTTTCTGGGAAACCCCCAAACCCCCAAACCCAAGCCCCAAGCCCCAAACGCCAAACCCCGAAGCCCCAAGCCTTATAGCAGAAGCCAGAAAGTCGGAACATCATTCTCCTCGTGCCCTTACGGCCAGCATGAATGATCCTAGATACATGTTCCAACTTTCTGAACCCGAACCCTAAACCCTAAACCCCTAAGCCCGAAACCCTTAGACCCTTAAGCCCTCAACCCCCACCTCTAAACCCCTTAACCCCAACCCCAAACCCCAAACCCTAAACCCTAAACCCTAAACCCTAAACCCTAAACCCTAAACCCTAAACCCTAAACCCCTTAACCCCAACCCCAAACCCAACCCATAAAGCCCCAAGCCTTAGCCCACGGAAGGCTTCAAGCCGCACTTCGACAAGTACGCAGCAGACCAGACTCTGGAACAGAGAATACTCTAGGGGCCTTCTTAACTTACCTATGAAGATGGGTTTAGGGGTTTAGGGTTTAGGGTTTAGGGCTTAGGGTTTAAATAGTCTAGGGGCCTTATTAATATACCTATGATATTTTGGTGGTTCCCTATCATCAGTAGAGTATCATATACCCAAAACCCTGAGGCCTCTGGGATGGGGAATACTTACGGGGTTTAGGGTTTAGGGTTTAGGGTTTAGGGTGTAGGGTTTAGGGTTTAGGGTTTAGGGTTTGGGGTTTAGGGTAGGGGGGTTTCCCAAAATAGGGGACCCTAATATAGTACCCTAAGTAGTAGGATTCTTATGATAAGGACCCCAAAGTAAGGTACCCCCTATTTTCTGAAACTCCTCTTTAAAAGGGCTCCATGAAGGGGAGACCTGAAAGTTCTTGGGGCCTAAACAGATCATGACTCTGGGATAGGGAATGCTGTGCAGAATTCGTTGGGGCTTGAGGGTTCAGGGCTTTGGGGATGTTACGTTCAGGGTTCAGGGTTTAGGGGTTTAGGGGTTTAGGGGTTGACGGTTTAGGGTTTATAGAGGGTTTGGGTTTACAGCGTGGGGGGTTTGGGTTTGGGTTGAGCTTGAGGGTTTAGGGTTTAGGTTTCCTCAAGGATTCCCAAAGGATTGCTCGCATGATTCTTTAAGGGACGTATAAGGGTTTGGGGCTTTATGGATGGTGGGGCTTCGTAACTGGCTTGATAAGCAGGTAAGTCCATGTAAGTATAGCTTAGACATGCTTGGCATGCGTATCTTTAGTCTTGCTTACGAATGCCCTGATCCTCCAAGTAGGGTTTTTGGCTTTGGGCCCACGGATTTGAGATTTGGGGTTTACGCTCCTGGGATTAGCGTTTAGGGTGTTTTGCTTCAGGTACTCGGGCTTGGGATCTAGGCCTCAGGGTTTTTGGGTTCCGGGTGTGCAGGTTTTTAAGGACTCTGCAAGGCTCAGGAGGGACAAGAACGAAACTTTTGGGGTTTCGGGTTTAGGGTGGTCGAATTCGGATTCGGGTTTAGGGTTTCGGGTTTAGGGTTTAATTAGGGTTCGGGTTTAGGGTTTAGGGTTTAGGCTTCATGTCTTGCATTTGGAGGGCTTTGGGCGAAGAGGACGGAGGACCTTTGTTCGGGCAGGGGGAGTCTTTGGCGGATGATATTATGGGAGTTTCCGAAAATTAGGGTACCTTATTTTGGGGTCCTTATAATAAGGATCCTATTATTTTGGGTATTATATTAGGGTCCCCTATTTTTGGAAATCCCCATATGAGTACGATGAGCATCTGACATGCTGAACTCGTCTACCACTGCCAAGCTGTCAGAGAACCCCGTAAACCCTAAATCCTGAACCCTAAAATTCACCAGCCACTGCCCAGGAATGCCTTCTTTGCCGACTATGCCCGAGCGCACAAGAAGCTGTCGGAGCTAGGAGCGAAATTCGAGCCACAGGGAGGTGTAAAAATCTAAAGCAAGGCTATCCCTTCTTCCACATTCCCTTAGACCCTAAAGCCGACTCTAACTATTGTTAAGTCCCCTATATCATGAAACCCTTACAAAACCCTTGTAAAGCCAGTGTGTCAGAGAGCGTTTCATGTACCCTCGTGAAGAGATAGCCTGATAGATCCGGATGCCAGTGAATTGATTGGCCCATGCCTGGGTGACGCCGTGTAGGCACAGACACACCAAAGACACCAGTGCCCATTTAAGTCGCAGAAAAGGCGTGATTGCGGCTGCAGCTTTGCTGGTAGACCTTTCTGGTGTAGGCTGGTGGGGCTGCGTTAGTCCATAATAAACACCACCATTTACTGAGTGTTTTGGAGTTCACGATCTTCTGTTTCATCTGGGTGGTTGCCATGCCTCTGCAGAAGCATCGGTCTGGGTGCGAACCTGAACAACCATCAAAAGCAGCAATGTTTAGTTTTTCAATCATAATGATAGTCATAGCAAGAGCGATATCGATGGCAGTTTTCTAGCTGCACGTGCCACCTCGAGTTGAAGCTTTGTCCTCAGATTACTTAGGCTGGCAAGACCATCGGGGGGAGTCAGACACAATGCGCAGAGCCATCGCCCGAAGCCTTAAACCCTAAACCCCAAAGCCTGAATCCTGAACCCTAAATCCTAAGCCTTCATCAAAGAAGAGTCACCGCAACCTAAAACCGACAACTTTCATCCCCACACCCCAACCCCTAAACCCCAATTACTAAACTCTAAACCCTAAACCTCCAAACTCCCAAACTCCCAAACCCTAAACCCTAAACCCTAAACCCTAAACCTAAATTCTAAACCCTAAACCCTAAACCCTAAACCCTAAACACCCAAACCCTCGACCATCTTAGACCCCGAGCCCGACGACCTTCCCTGCCCAATCCCTGAATGCTTAGATAGAGCCTTCCATAAGACAAATCATGTAGTCCAATGTCGGTTGCTTTAAAGGTTCTATAAGAAGGGGAGTAAACCCTAAACCCTAAACCCTAAACTCTAAACCCTAAGTAACATGAAAGACTGACTAGGCTAGCGATAGTATTCCTCTGATACCGGGTACTTACAAGCAGAGAGCCTAAGATGTCGGAAGACGTACTGCTGTAGCAAGTTCAGGGTTTAGGGGTTTAGGGGTTTGGGGTTTAGGGTTTAGGGGTTTAGGGTTTAGGGGCTTAAGGTTTAGGGGTTCAGGGTTTAGGGGTTTAGGGTTTTGGGTTTAGGGTTCCATAGCCCGCATGTACTTCTGCCCCCAGAAAGAACTCCCTACTGCAATCATGAAGTCTATGTATCGTACTGGTTCGGGTCTGTAGGTTCTGGATGTATCGAAACCGCACCAACGACTACATCAGCAAGCCTCCCGCGTAGAGCAAGAGAACCCAAGCTCGACGTGCAAGGCAACCTGAGTAATATAGGGACCTTAATCATTAGAATAAGGTTTTGGGCTCCTGTATAGTATCTTATGTTAAGGAGCCCTAACAGTAATATGAGTAATTATTCAGGCCTCTATAATAAGACGATCTCCTTGCGCAAGAGTTGAGCCCTCGAGCCCGACCCTATTCCGAAACCGTTGAGGATTGGGGCATGCGCGCCATCAAGTCCGTGCTGGTCGTGGCCGGCGGCTTCAAGCGTACCATGCCTCAGTGCGTTCAGGTTCGGGCATTGGCAGAGTTATTGTGGGTTGACTACTTGAGCAAAGCCGGTTGAGGGTTTGTGAAATTTAGGACCCTAAACCCTAAACCTAAGAAGTCTAGTTTATAGGAACCCTGAACCCTAAACCCTGATAAAGTTTGGGGTTTTGAACCAGAAGCCACATGCTAAGTCCTGCATCTTTAGTTCAGGAGCCTTACCATGCCCATCCCCCGGCCCTCCTTGCTGCACCAGTCATGACAAAGGCCGAACGTCTAGGGTGTAGGGTTTCAGGGTTTAGGGTTTAGGGTTTATACCCCAAAATGCCGAGAGCTCTCTAGTTTGAAAGAGCTCCACAGGTGGGATGAAGGTGGGGTTAGGTTTTTGTGTTTCAAAGGTGGGCTTTTAAAAACGGGATCGTGAATCCCAGCCACCTTCGTCCTGGTCCTGGCTGTTGAGACCCCTCATCGTCGAAACCCAGAGAATAGATCCCTAAACCCTAAACCCTAGTCACAATAAGAACTATCTTATCAACTCCCTTACATGACTTTTTTTTTAGTTCTGGTAGCGCAAAAGCACGTAAACTAACCCTGATGAAACCCGGAAAACCCAGATAAAACCCTGGCAGAGTCGTACTGAAGCCCTAAACTCTAAAGCTGAGCCGTAAAAAAAAAGCAGCAAAAGGCAAGCCCCAACCCTAAACCCTAAACCTCGAGACCTCCCGACAGTCTGAGGAGCTGACGCCACCTTGTCCGAGCAGGCGGTGCTCATGCGCTCCTTGCGAGATGCTGGGCGGCATGGTTTTGTTCACAGTCCCGGGTTCGGGTTTAGGCTCCGGACTAGGGTGCTATGTAGGGGCCCTAGTAATTGCCTGTGCTATTTTGGGGGTTCCCTATTAATAATTATGATATAATATACCCCAAAACCAGATCCTGGTTATTCAGGCCCCTGCATTAAGCACGGGTCTGTAGATGTTTCTGGGGTTTCGATTTGGGCGGTGGGAGCTGTTTCAGGCTTTAGGGCTCTAGGGCTGAGGGTGTTAGGGTTTCGGGTTTCGGGTTTCGGGTTTAGGGTTTAGGGTTTAGGGTTTAGGGTTTAGGGTTTGGTATTTCGGCCGTAGAAAGTTATTTTCGACTCCTGAAGACAAAGTCGCCCGGCGCGAGTGCTTGTGCTGGACCCCAAGTGCACTATGACATACTCCAGAATCTTTGCAAGTATCGAGGTTTGAACCTGAACTCTAGAAATTGTGACTTGTGATGCGCAGGGCCATGGCTGCCGTAAGCTTACGGAGGGACCGCTTATATCCCTACTGAGGACGTCGTCCCATACCCCAAATAAGGCCCCGAAATTGCCCCACAAACCCTGAACCCTGAATTCTAAACCCTGAACCCCTGAACCCCAAACCCCAAACCCTAACCCCTAAACGCTGAACCTTAGAACCTAAACCCTAAAACCCTAAACCCTAAACCCTACAGCCCTCAACCCTAAACCCTAAACCCTCAACCCTAAACTCTAAACCCTAAACCCCAAAGCCCAAAACCCTAAACCCTAAACCCCGAAGCTCAGAACACTAAACCCTAAACCCTAAACCCCGAAGCCCAGAACACCAGCTTCAGTCGCCCCGAAGCCTCCAACGGTCGAACTCCAAAGGTCCCCTAGGCTTGAGCTGTACAAGCGCAGTTTAGGGTTTAGGGTTTAGGGTTTAGGGTGTAGGGTTTTGGGTTTAGGGTTCCTATGAACTAGACTTCTTGGGTTTAGGGTCTAGGGTTTTGTGGTTGTGTTTCCTTGGGTTTAGGCTTCAGTGTTCATCCGGGGTTAATTTAAACCTCTTGTATGACCTTCAGGGTCCAAGTAGTCCTGATTCGTGGCTCTTGGTATCCGAAATGGACCCAAAGTCCTAAAAGAGGGAGTGGTTCGACCCCTTCGGGTGAGTTAGTAGCCCCCTAAACCCAAAGCCCTAAGCCTTAAACCCTAAACCCTAAACCCTGAAGCCCTCAACTTAAACCTTAAACCCTAAACCCTGAAACCTAAACCCTAAACCCAATCCTGGACCCCACTCCAAAGCTAAGCTTTTGCTTACCTAGGTGTTTGGATGCCATCCAGCGTCGGCTTTTGAGTTTGGGGGCTGTTACGGTTTAGGGTTTGGGGTTTGGGGTTTGGGGCTTAGGGTAATCGTAAACCGTAAAGCTCAGGACACCAACGTGGCCAAGATCGAAGGTGACGACCTGAAAATCTTCATGGGCCTGTTGGCCGACCTGTTCCCAGGCCCCGCGTTTTGGGTTTAGGTTCACGCTTTTAGGATTTCGGTTTTAACGTTGAGGTATTTTGGGTGTTGGGCAGTGAGCTATTGGATTTTTGGAGGGGCTCAAGGTACCTATAGTACGAGTCCAGGATGCGAGAGGGATCGAGAGGGAATGCTAAGTCATCGAGCCTCGAAGGAGCTCGGGCTTTTGGGTTTTAGGGTGTAGGGTTTAGGGTTGAGGGTTTGGGGTTTAGGGTTTAGGGTTTAGGGTTTAAGGTTTAGGGATGTAGGGTTTAG